TGTTACACACACCTGTAGGCGTCCAGGTCCCTGTCCATATAGTTGAAGCTGCAGCAGTAGCCGTAGGCCGTCGGCACCTGGCGGAAGATGTCGGAGCAGTGCAGGCACTGGCGGCGCTTCCAGATGCACCGGATGAGCAGGTCGTCGCACGAGGGCGTCACCTGTCTGAGGGACAACGATCCTCACGGTCATGGCGGTTGTCGTCAGGGAGTCGCGGGCGCGCGCGCGCGCGCCGAAAGTGGCGCCGACGACTAACACACCTCATGACTTCGTCGATGCTGAGCGAGTTCTTGTCCAGGATGTTCTGGAGGCGGGCGAACTTGGTGGCGTTGTTGGAGCGCGGCACGATCAGCTCGACGAGCAGCCCCAATTCGTCCAGCAGCTCCTCCTCGCTCACGTCGGCGGGCAGCACCCTGCGGACAAGGGAACGTAAAGCAGGGCGTGCGCGACGAGGCGACGCCCGCACGGCCCGTGACACGCACATGGTCTTGAGGAGCTGCCGCGCCTTGGAGCGCAACACCTTGTTGCTGGGGCAGACGGTGACGCCGGGCGCGTCCACGGCCCACAGCGGGTAGTGCGTCGTGTCCACGGCCAGGATGGTCGGGTGCGAGCGGTTGAAGTCGTACGCGATCATCATGAGCAGGACGGCGGCCACCAAGGACACCGTCACCACCAGGATCCAGAACAAACGCTCGGCCCGGTGCTTTCCTGGCTGCACGATGTACTTGTAGCCGTGCAGGCCGGTAAACAGGCAGAACTCTTTGGCCTCCTGTCGGAAAGCTTTCCTCGCCCGCCCCCAGGTGGACCGCTCCGGAGACCAGCTGCCGATGGTCGCCGGTTCCTTGAAGTTCGGCGAGCCCGCCATGCCTGTAGGACGTCGAGAGGCAGCTCGTGGCTGAGCGGACGGTTGGGGTAACGCAATAGAAGCAAATCCGCCCGGGGACGAGGACGAGAACTCACCTGCGTTCGAGTGGTTCGAGTTTGACGTCCTCTACGTCAACGCGAGGGGGCCTTGTCGAGGAGCCCCGCGGTGAACGCAGCCATTCTGTGCCTTAGCGGCGCAGACAGCTTCGCCCACATCAAGACGTCGTCGAGGTCTTCGATGTCGTCGTCGTCGTCGTGGTCGCCGCCGACGTCGCAGGGTAAGACTGACGGAGAGCTGACAGAGGGCGGGACCCAGGGAGTCGGAGAGGCCGGTGGTAACCGGTTCGCACCCGCTGACCACCCTCGACACTCACGTCACGGCCGGACTGGACTACGCGCAGCCCCCGCACCCTTTAGACAACTACCCCGCGAGGCACTCGAGCCGAGACAGACCTTCACGTTTAACATAGAAGCACTGGACTCTGCAAGTGCGCTGGCGATAGGATTCCTCGGGTCAAATCAATCGACCACTCCACCTGGACGGAGCGCGGCGCTCTGAGGGTGCGGCCAGGGCCAGGTCGCTGCTCGCGCGCTCTGCTCCCGCCCAGTTGCGCCCAGGTGGCGGGCACCCGGCGCGCTCTCAGGCCCGCCCCAACC